TCTTTCGTTCCACAGTCCTTCTGAAGGAATAATTTAATCCTGGGTACCCATTGATAAGTGCAGACAATCCAGATTTCAGAATGCAACATGATAGACTTCTTGTTGTATTCTAATAAAAGTCTATCATGTTGTATTCTAATAAAAGATATATTAACCGTTTATATATTGATTCTTATCTTCTGGTGGTGGGTTGATTCTTAAATAGCTTTGGAAGGGGGGGGGAAATAGTTTATCTAGTATGGGCTGTTGTTAGCGATAACAAAAATCTTAACTATTATTTTATATATCTCTATATTCGTTCATTGTATTTACTAGTAACTAGTTGTTGTTATAGGGAAGGTGCTGTGGTATTTAAGAGCGAATTAACTTGATTAAACTGGATTTAATTTGTTACATAGATGAGCATATGAATTTTACGTAGAAAATTCATTTCTTTAAAGCTTACGCTTTACGATCTTAAGTAAATGATGATGAATCATAATTTGATTAACTGTCATGATTTGATGAACAGCACCACGTATAAAAATGCCCACATTACGTCACGTCTATGTTAAATATATCCAGACCCCACCTCACGACGGATATATCACAATATCGTATTTGAAAACAGCTGTTTTTTATACGTATGAGGGCATGCATTTTTTCCCCCTCGTTTAATGAATATTGCAGCTTTTAAAAGCGAAACTTTATGGTCTTGCTGTATGAAATCAACCGATTGCTGCTTTATTTTTAACTATAATTAGTTCACTTCTTGTCTGTGTATCATATTTTAGTGATTCAAATATAAAAATATTGGAAACTAGATCAAATGATAGTCATTGTATCTTACCTCTAAATGTGCGGTAATTGATATTCTAGCACTAAAGCTATATTTAAGTCTTGAAAAGGTTATAATTTAATATTTTCCATCTGAAAAATTTGATCCTATACCGTGGGATGAATACTGTAGAGAGTCCTAGGTAAAGTTAAATGGGATTAAAATGAGTCATTTAACGCCGAACTGCCTCCAACGGAATAAAAGTTATTTTATTGGATATCGAAATCAGTATGAATTTTTCAAATAACTATAACAGTGAAATTATTTCATTGTAAAATTCAAATTTGTATCGATAAACTGTGAATGCTTTAGGAACTGATTGTGTAATAGAAAAGTAATAAATGGTGATGGTAAAAGTGGTAGTCTGAAGTTCAAGAATTTTCTTTTCAGAAACGCCAGCTAATAATTTCTGCATTTCTTGAGATTTTTCGTGGTAGATTGGACTTTCTGGGTTCACCTGTACTAACAATATTTCCCCTAATTTCTTGCATTTACATTGTTGATTATTGCAGTATTTATTAATTTCGTTTTAAAATTAGAACTGCTAACATTTGTACTTTTTCTGTAAATGTTTAATTGAAAGAATTAATCGCCTAATATCTCATTTTTGAGACAGAAACTAAAAATGATTAATTTTAGAGAGAGAGAGAGTCTTGTGAAACGCTGAGGCAGGCTGAAAAACCAGATCTCTGGCTTCACTCTGCTATTCCAGCTATGAATGCAAAACTCCTGTATGGAAACTGAATCCGCTGCAGACAACATACAAATGAAAAAATTAGAGATTTCACATAGCCTGTGTGTTGTGCTAAATATAAACATAACTTCTATAGTGCTATGATAATAAAAAATTTCACGATAAGCACATCTTCGCTGGCGTCCTATACTCCTTGCGTTTCCTACTGTCCTGTGTCTTCAAATTTGGCTATAAGCTGGAATATCGTATGGTTAGAAGGAGCATATCAGACATTAGAATATCGTTAAAAGTTTCTCTGAGTAGACATAATAGAATAATAGAAATAATGCTTCTTCCGTTTTCCAAATAAAAAAAGTTAGGATTTTTATCCTTTCTGCAGACGTTTATCGTTCCATATCGAAACTCCCAAATATTTATTTTAACCTAAAAAAGAGAAAATAAATACTAATTCTGGAAAGAATTTTTTAAATTAAAAATCGTGAAGGTACTTTTGCGCCTGCCACCCTGTACAAAAGTAGTGTGCGATTTTCAAAAGCAATTTCTGGCTTATTTTAACGAGATAATTTTATCCTAAAAACAAGACTTTTATTGAACGCGATTAGGAAGCTTTTCTGTACTGTAATTGGGCACTTTTTTTTGAACGCATAAAATGTATGAAATTTCATTATTGCACCGTGATTTATAACATACTACAGAAAAGGCCATGTGTAGTTTCTCTGCTACACACACACTTGTCTTCGCATTGTAATACCATCGGCCGAAAAAAGGAACTAAAATAGAGCTACTTACGCGGAATTTAAAAATAGCTTCAAGTTTCTAAACCCTTACCCACTGGTTTACCGGAAGAGGGGGGGGGTGAGAGACAAATTCAGCATTTATGGGAGGTGGAAAGAGTGTTTTCTTTCCCCTGTGTTCTCTTTTTTTTTTTTTTTTTTTTTTTTTTTTTTGAATAAGAGAAGTGGCAAGTGTAGCAGTTTGACTGTAAATTAAAGCTTTTTCCCCATTTCAGTTTTATTATTATTATTTATTATTTATTTTTTATTTTAAAGACATTACAACTTTAAGCCGAAAATCTTTTTATGAGTTTACCTTAAAAAAAAAAAAAAAAAAAAACATGCGTAGCTTATCAACGATTGTTTTCGGGAAGCGCATGAACATGTGGACGCATACATGTGGACGTTTCAAAATTTTTTCGATGGCTCACTCTCATTCCTAGATATGAAGCATAACACTTCTTACACTATTTCCTTATAACCCTCAGAGTAATGTCTTATTTTTTGGTGGAAAATTTCAGCCGAACTCGTGAAATCCACCTTCTTATGTCATTCGACTTCCAATCAACTAGCTGTGTCATCCTGAATGCCTGATTAGATAATCGTGTGTATTACTTTCAAAGGGAGATAAGTCTAGAATTGTTTTTCTGGTAATAGGCTTAAATTATAAAGATTAAAAAGAGAGTAGATGAGTAAAAAGTATTTCACAACTGGATCTTTTTTAAAAGTCCGTTCTGCTTAATCGAACAAGGCATACGAGGGCTTCTCGGATTATGCCAAATTCCAATAAATTTTTATTGCGAGGTCATTCTACGTGAATATTAAACCCTTTTTTGGCCGTTAATTTGAATACGACTTTATACACGAAGGATATCAAACCTGATTTTTCTTAATAAGCGTACTAAATTTGCCTTTTTTAAGTTTATAAAAATTTAAAACCAGATAAGATTTTAAGAAAAATATTAGGCTATTATAATTGATTTCTTTCCAAATTCGATTACAGTTGAATTTGAATAATTTTTTGCTGTATTCTATTCCATTGTCATTCAATTAGAAGGTAAATAATAATAATAGGAAAAATTTTGTGAATTTATTTTAGGTGTGTTTCGCTTTTGGAGCAGCCTCATTTAAGTCCATTTATATCTATGTATTTATATTATAACTTCAGAATATAATTGATCACGGAGTTTGAATTTTTTTAATTATCTTTAATTCCTGAGCTCCATCGTAGTAACGTTAAAACAAATCAAATGTTTCAAAACAGCTACTTTCAACAAACGTGAATAATATTCTTCCTTAAACTGTTACAAATATCATCCCATTGACATAATAACTGATATAAATGAAATAGTCTGGAAAATATTTTTTTAAATTACTTTTTTAAATATTTCTTGTGGGGAATATTGGAGGGTAAACAAATAATACGTTTAATGCAGCCTGACTGGGTGATTATTTTATAACTGTTTAATATGGTGACCGATGAATCACATTAACCTTGAGCTTTCTGTTTTGAATTTTAAGAATATAAGTGAATCTTGTTTATAAACCTAAATCTTTGAAGTAGAAATTTAAAGCGCCCTGCAATATTTTTAGGAGGGTGGAAGGGCGGCTAAGTGAATTTAAAAGAAAGTTATAGTTAATTTTTTTTTCTCTTAGTCTTTTGATGGTGTAATAAAATTGTTTTACGTTGTAAATGGCTAGGGGAAAAGTTATAAATTTCGCGAAGGTTAATAAATCTTAATAATTTTTTTAATCTGTGTGCTAGCTTTCCTCCATCTCTCACAATTTGCCGCATACATGTGGACGTTTCAAAATTTTTTCGATGGTTCACTCTCATTCCTGGATATGAAGCATAACACTTCTTACACTATTTCCCTATAACCCCCCGCAGAGTAATGTCTTATTTTTTGGTGGAAAATTTCAGCCCGAACTCGTGAAATCCACCTTCTTATGTCATTCGACTTCCAATCAACTAGCTGTGTCATCCTGAATGCTTGATTAGATAATCGTGTGTATTACTTTCAAAGGGAGATAAGTCTAGAATTGTTTTTCTGGTAATAGGCTTAAATTATAAAAATTAAAAGAGAGTAAATGAGTAAAAAGTATTTCACAACTGGATCTTTTTTAAAAGTCCGTTCTGCTTAATCGAACAAGGCATACGAGGGCTTCTGCTTAAAGAAAAGAATTCTTTCGTGGATGACATTTTAAAGGAAACTGTTTCGTATTATATTACATAGGGGTGGCAAACGACGAAAAGGCTCATGCAGCTAATCTGTATGATGTGAATCAGAACGGGTTTGAACAACTGATATTCAGCAGTCTTTTATCCACTCGGTCGTTGGGGTGCCTTTTTTTGTTTTTTAAACTTGGAGACGCAGAGAGGAGTTTTGTATTGTACAAATAATAAATGTTTTATTTTTCTGTCACTAGTATAACTGTGGGTCTTTTAATCTTGCAGCGAGACATAGGAGTGGCAAATATAATTAAATCGTTTGCTTAAATGTCGCTGTTGTTTAGGAATTAGTAAAACTAATAATTTAATGTTATGATAAAATTCCCTTAATTTTTATTCGATCTCATTTAATTCTCTTTGAATGTCACTTATTATGTTCCTGGATTAATCTAATTCAAGAAGGAAATACTTTTAAGTTATAAAAACATAAATTTACTATTTTTTTTGGTTGCATGAAATGACTTCAATTTTCCTTTTTGGCAGGTGCGCGTGAGTGTTGCATGCGATGTATGGCTGAGGCGGCATCAACGGAAGTGGAGTCAGGATTATGGATGCTGGGATCAAACCCTGCTGCAGGGACGACGGAGAAGTTATCGGTGAGTAGTCTTTGTAATTTATGATTCTTTTGTTACTGCTTCAGCTTTCGAAGGTTGCTGCTTTAGAAGCAAAGAGTATTGGTTACCAGGTGTAAATTATCAAATAATATTGCTATCCTGTTAAATCAAATATCTGTTCGCTCAGTTAAAATCGGAGGCATTTCCCATTACTAATTATTCGGTATATGGAATACAAAATTATTTAACTTATTTCTTTCCTGAGCAGTTTTGAGAGAATAGCGTAAATTTTCGTTATGTTAAAGATATTTACTTATTTTACTATTATGGTAAAGATATTACTGGAATGTATCTTATAGTATATTAGTTTAATGGGGCTAAGATCTGAATAAATTCTTATTGGGAATAAATGAGTATTTGTGTGAAAATTTTGTTACCATTCTGTATATTCGTATACTTCTCATATGCCAGTTACTTAGTTTTGATGTCGGCTTTTCTGAAATACTGCTGTAACTGTATTGTAGTGGAATTGATTGTACTGTAATTATTTTGCAAAAGTGAAATAACTTTTACTTTGAAATTGTAATAGTGGTATGATAAATGTAATGGTGTACGTTTGATAGTATTTCTGTTATCAAATGAACGCATGGTTTTTAAAATGATGGTAATAAATTCTGGAATATTTGTCGCTTAATAAATTCCTAATAAAATATTTATAGTAATGTAATTATTTATAGAATATATGTAATATTATGAGTTTTAGATGACACTGTACTGGAGATTTTTTTTCAATGATAAACAGCCGTGGATTTTCCATTTTCTTCCTAATAGAAGTACTTTTAACAGGATACCCTTATAATGATCTATTGATTTCGACTAAGAAAACACTTCGGCTGAGGACAAGCAAGCTGTTTAATGATGTTTCAAAATAAAATATAGCAGCTCAGAATATCATTAGATCAGTTGAGTAACTTATTTCATATAGTTATTTATTATAACGGGCACACAGTATAAAGTTCATGACCCGCAGTATCATCATAATACGCTATTTTTCAAAAGCAGTTAGTTTCATGGCCGAATTTTAAAGACGATAATTTCGGAAAACGTGTTGCCAACTTAGGGCAACGAATAGATCTAATTTAATTATGTGAACCGTGAAAGTAAACATAAGCATTATATCATTTTCGTTGATTTTTGAATTCGTTTTACTTTAAACAACGGGTCAAATTTCTAAATGCACGGAAACAATTTTATTTAATAACCGTGTTTGTATTTTCACAGTTTTAGAAAGATTGTTTTTAACATCGCTAAGCACCAGCAACTGAAACTTGGAGCAAAAGCCTTCAGTTTATGGCTAATAAAGACATTTTATTAATAGATAAAGCTATCGCAATATTCATTTATAGTAAAGTTACCGAGAAAATGCGACACTAGCGTTTCAGAAGTATCTTATGATAAAATAACGTATTTCTTTCATATTCGTAACTTCGTGCTTTATTTTTACCACGATATTTTCAACGACAATATTTTTAAACAGCGAAAAAGTTTTTGAACTGCTTTATTTTCGACGGCGATATTTCGTATCGCTGCGTTTTCTCTTTGCTTTCTTTTCTTCCACGATGTTTTCGCCTTGCATTGTTTTCTCCGCGATGTTTTCGGCTGTAACCCTCTGAAAATTGGCAGGTTCTATAATATCTTCTCAAACGGATATATCATAATTATAAAGATTAGCTATCATAGCTACCAATTCTCCCGGGTTTTGTCACTTCCTTTGTAGATCACTCTTCACTAAGCAAAATGTTTCCCAAAAATAAATGCCATTTATTGTTTAATTAAACGTAATTGGGCAATTTCTCTTCCTCCACCGCTAGTGATTTTCAGCGTAATTTTTCTTATTCAATTTTTCTCATCTAATTGTCTTAATTTGCTGCAGAAATTGTAGAACTTTATATAAAGCTTCAATCCACCTTCCAATGCAGCTTCATTTCAAACAGTTAATATTTGTATTTAATTTTGTTTTATAAGTTTATCCGAACAAGAATATGAACATGAATTATAAACTTTGTTTTCGTTTTATTTAAAAGTTTGCTGATAAAAGCTTTCCTTTCTTATTCAGGATTTTCTCAATATAAAAAGGCAAGAAAATTACAAAATGGAATTAGCTAAAGAACATAATATTCAGTGTACCGAAGTAAATATATTTTAAAATCAGAATCACGTTGTAAATAGTTCAGTAACCTGGATAGTGCATTATAAAAGGAATTTAAGTCGCTTTGGTGGTTCGTTTTAATTGCGTCGCCGCGCAGTTCGGTTGGTTTGGTTTATTTAATTATGGCAAAGCACTCGAGTGCTATCTGCCTAAGGAGAGGACTTTCTAAAGGGAACTGGCTCATATGGACGCTACACATGAGAAAAAACATGAAAAATACCCATGCAGCCAGTCCTTTCGCGTGGAGTGGAACCTAAGTCGGAACTACCAGTGCCAGCTATTTTACTGCTTGGCCGCCAGTCGGCTTCCCGCACAATTCAGAAAACTCCCGATTTTCGCGAAAGAACCGCGTGGTTTTTCATATTTTTAGGTTGGCAGTTAAAGTTATGAAAAGACCATGCCGCTGTGGCTTCTGCAGGGCGGACATCATACTGCAAGGGCTTGTTCCCGGTCAGTCGTCTTCCTTAGCAGTGTGGGGGTAAAAAATGCTTTAAATATAAATGGATAAGTTTTTAATTTAAAAAAATTCTTTCTATATTCGTTTTCAAGATTCGGATTTAACTATTCCTGGCAAAATAGGAAATACTGCTATTTTACTTAAGAGAAGTACTTATTAAAAACAAAGTAAAGGGATTAATCAAGGGAGCTCGGAGCATTTTTCTCCCCCAATATTAAAAGCCGTATGTTTATCCGTAGTGTTTAAATATAATATGAAATTTTCGAATTCGTAATTTTTCTTTCCTTTTTAGTTTTTAATGAACCGATGAATATTGAATGAATTTTTCAAAAAACGTTTTTTAAGGATGTTTTGTTTGGTTGATAAATTAAGCCAAAGCACGCAAAGCTATCTGCCTAAGCAAATGACTCCATATCGTAGTTAAATCACGCAGCCACACGGCAATATTATCACTTCGTCTGATACAAATATATACTATCGTGATACAAATATCAAGAAATCTAAAATTGCTTTCGATATTCCTCAGTATCAAGAAAAAAATTACAAAAGTTAAACTCCTGTGGATGAAAGACCACAATGGGGACTCGGGTACCGACGCTGCAGATGTGTTTGCAAAGGAGGCAGCACAAAAAGCAAGTAGAGTTCCTTGATGTGCTATTTCCCAAAACTCAGCAGAGGAATATACGAAATATGCATTCACAAGGTCTAGCAACAAGAGTGGACCAAGCGGCAACGGGTAGTCGCACACGCGAATTCTTTTCAAAAGTGAACAGTAAACTCAGAAGTACACAAGGTTTCTTAATGCAATATTTGTCGGCCGTGGCCCATTCCCGGATTACTTCTGCAAGAAGACCCTGGCAAAAACCGACACATGCTGATACGGAGAATTGGGTGATATGGACTATTGCATTTTCAAATGTCCGCTCACAAAAGAACTCCGCTTGAAAGGACCATCCAACAATGACATACGACGTTTCATAATAACACAACGACATATCCTACCGAAACTTAAAAAAATAAAAAATAAAAATAAAAATAAAAAACTGAACCATTGCAGGCAGAACAGTGCAAGACAAGCCGAATACAATCAGCAGGACACACAAAGAATGTTTCTGCAAAGAGCAATAGTGCTCAAAATTTGTAACTGATAACTACACCTTTACGCGTACTGTGGGCAACAACAAATGCATGCATGCATGCTCCGAATTGGAAATGTAAATAAGTATGCAACAATAAGCTATACGTAAATTAAAGAAATTGCTCAGATGAACTTGCTAAGAACACATGTTGCATATATTTAACTATGCTATCTCAGAAATGAAGAAGTCTCACTCCCAACAACAGTCCATCAACTCTTGCATTCAACCTCAGCAGTGCAGTAATGGCTTTATGGTGGGGGTTCGACCTAAAGCTGGCTAGTGTGCTGGGGCGCTACATGTGCGATCTATGGTAATATTTCTGCTGCCCCATTCACTTCTACTACCTACTTACTTGCCTAACGAGAAGAATGACTTCATCTATTTTCTTTGTAGAAACTTACACATTACACATGAAGAAATAAATATATGCAGCCAAATCCAGCCATCTTAAATGAAACTCAGGCTGAAATAACAAATACAGGTGCAAGCCTTCGGAAAACCAGAAATTTACCATTGGTCGTACAGGTATTGTCTCATCGTACTGTGAAACTTCGCCCCGATTTTGAGATAGAACAACAACCCAAAGAACAGTCCGATGGCCTCCAGTCTCTCTTCCCTTACCAGCAAACCACTCGAGAGGAATTTTTGTTTGCCAGAATTTTGAGTACGCCCATACCACACAGACACTATTCTCTTAATAAGCATCCATACACTCTCCGGGATTCGAATCCGGGAGTAACAATCAGCGTCACTAACCACTATACTGGTTGGTTGACAGGCTGAACTAGCAAGTATAGGTAAAAGTAGAAGCTAGGCCAAAATTATTTTTCTTCAAAGCTATTTTTATTCACCATCAAACGTCACCTTCTACAGTCATAAGAGGAATGACACGCGTTGAGCAAATGTCATACTAGGTATTGTATTGATAATGTAACGCATTGTTAGATGGTAAGATGGCTTCCCCGCAGAGCATGTTTCGAGTTGCCAGATTTGGCGCAAAATCGCACATTTGGTGATATTTGGCGACAAAATTGACGCTATACCATAGACGGAACGAGAACATTCTAGAACGAATTCTTACCGGTTTTCTCCAGAAAGTTCTGGAAGAAAGGTCAAAAGCTATAGAAATCCTGCCTGTATGCGGAGTAGTACAGTTTTATCATCGTGAAGAGTATCTTGAGTGTTTTGAGGTCAGATATTAACATGAGAGCGACTGAACCGAGTCGGGAGCTGTTAG